CTTCCGTTTGTTAACACTGCCAGTTCGAACAAATGTGTTGATTACATCTGTAGTGTGAACTTCTAACGATGTTCCTTGAATTAATTAAATCACAGTATTTGGCCAGCTATTCTTGTTTACAAGCGGTTACAGAATATAACCACTCTTTGATCTTTTTTCAATGATGTAATTTTTTATTGAAATTTGTCAAAAAGCTTTAATAACAATGTATTCACTATTTACAATCATTAAATCGGAGTATTGTGATCTCTAGAATATTTTGTAAATTATTTGGAATCAGTATTTAAATCTGTTACGCTGGGACCTTTATTTCAGATGATTGGGCACTAGTATAATTTTTTAATAAAGTATCCTACGCCAGGATTATGACAGGTGATAGTACTGTCAAGACTAGCTACGATTTTATAATTTTCAGTATTTTTATTTTGACAATTTATTTTACCGTGTTGGGAAAAATAAAATAATGCATGCGTTACATTTCTGATTAAGAAAAAAATGCACGATTTAAAAATGGAACATTTGACTACTAGCACTATTTAATAAAAAATCAAGTTAGACCTGCATCTCAAAAACAAATAAAGTATAAAATTTGAAAAAAGTGTATAAAATAGAACTTGAGTGTTCATAGGGACAGCCCAAATTTCAAAAACATTCAACAAACGGTTCTTGTGATATTCAACTGTTTCCATACCTTTCAACGACCCTGTATTCCCGTATAACAGCTCTTCGTGAACAGAAATTTCACACACTTCAGTTTATTTAACAAATTCTAAGCGAAATAAATTTTCAAACAAAAACATTATATATTGTGCAGCACATGTACATACAAGAAGTCTAGAAGAAGTTCAGGAGGTATTTGCAGACTGGCGTATCAATGATTTTAATTAGAGCTTAGTTTTTAATTAAAGCTTGCCCCGCAAAAAGAACGTACTTTTCTAAGGTTTACCCGGAGCATGTCCGTACCTTAACAAGAAATCTAATCTATAATGAAATGTTTGTTTCAGTTTCGACAAACAAACGAAATAGATCAAGTAATGCTAATAAAGCTGAGTTGTTTAATGAGATTATGTGCAATGAATAAAACACATGTTGAGTTTTTAAGTGCAATAAGCTAATTACTTTACTCGTACTTTTCGTTTTTCTTTTACAAACGTGCTTTTATATAAAGTGTAACAGTGATATTTCCATGCACTAATTTGTATATCATTCTAAATGAGACATACTTTTTAAACGATTGTATTTTCACACAGTCAAAACTGGTCGATTTTTCATTATATTATCTTCATTTTTAAATTTTCAGGTACTTCCAAACATATATGATCATACAACAGTCGTCAGTTTAGCTACGACGAATACGCATTTTTTATTTCCTTGCTTAGGTTATTTTTAAAGCGTAATTTTTACGTTCAATGTTGCAATTTTATTTTGTTTACATCTATGTACATAGTTACATAAACACCCACAGGTAACATCCTTTTTAGTAACAATATGTTATTTTAGCCTGATGATGACCTGAAAATGTATTAGGTCAGGTCGAAACACGTATGCAGACTCCAAATAAAAATATATACCTCACGAATTTCTTTGAACACAAGTTCGTTAAGAAAACAGGAGCAACTTTTTCTGATTTTGGAAATGTTAATTTAAAATAGAAAATAATGCTACATACTTGAATAACAAATAATCAAAAACTTAAACAAGGAAGTCGAAAATATTTACTATGAGCAGATACAAATCATTTAAAGAACTTAACCAATAAATATTGTTTATGTAGAATCAGAAAAGTGTAATTTTTTACCATAAATATGTGATATTTGATGAAATTTGATCGCAGTTAATATATAATTAAATAAATATTAAAATAGTTGGTCACGTAAGCCGCGAACGTTAACTTTTTCAAATATCGACAGAAATTTGGTAAAATTTGGATAAATGCGCCACGAAGTTCAGTATATAAACATTGATAATATTAATTCTAAAATGGAACTTTCCATTGATTGGAAAAAAAGTTCTTATGAAGAAAAGTCTAGTGTTTTACTGGCAACTCGAAAATTTAATTTTTAATCCTTTTTACCCGCTATTCATGTTGTTATTAACCGTTTTTTAACGTTCCAAAACTAAAAAATTTTATATAATCTATGAAAATTTACTCGTTTTCCCAATTAGAAATTAAAAAATCAATTTATGATTAGAGTACCTATTTTTCTCTGATTTATATTGTTACGAAATAAACCCATAACGGCCCCGGTGCGACGCCTATGAGTTTTTCTAATATGTGCGTCGATGAACGGTGACTCATCAACGGCCGAGCGGCGGGCGCATAAAGACAAGTCTGGAGCCGGTTACCGGAAGTCTCGAAGCGGCGTCCAGGGACGTCTCGAAGCGCAGTCGCGATGCATACTCGAGAAAGATCTCGATCGGGGAAGTATGGGTTTAAATAGAGGACACCGTTGGGAACCATTATTCATTCACCTAGTGGAGTCAGTCAAAAGCGTCCAGTGAAATTCGCCGGAATAATTTCTGTACATAATCGTTGCAATAGTTGGTGCTTATTGACAATAGGCATAAAGCATAAGGATGTCATAAGCATTATGCTCATTGTGAACGAATAGAAGCATAGAGCACTAAACATAAATTCTTACGCATTAATTCTCATGACATCCTTATGCCCATTGTGAATGAGCACTTAGTCGCCCGATTAATTATTCGCCGGTCAAACGTAACAATATGTTATATTTGTTAGCAGTGAATGACACCAAATTCTCATTTTTATGGGAATTCCTAGAATGTAAATGCTGAATGAGATTTTTGTTTCTTAAAAATGTGCAACGAAAACCTGAGTTACAGTTTAGAAAAATGATGACATCGTAACTGAAGCCCGACTAAAAAAGGTTTGTTCCTCGTCAAACGGCTTATGTCAAAAGTTTGTAATTGGATTCCTGTATATTTAATACACTATTGCAATCTGCATAGTGGATGGCTTTAATTAAATTCACTTTGAAAACATGGAGTAGTAAAAGTAAACACATTACAACGACTTTACCTTTTTTACGCTTTTACTCAAATCAGCTAGTTCAAAATATTTTAACTTATGGTCCATAAAATATTTACAACGACAACTTCTGTGCAGCCACATTAGCCTTTAATTTAATTTCGAAGGCGAGTACATAACCTAAAAAATTGTATTAAAAAAGGAATGCATCTTAAATAACATACCTACTTATTCCAAATATAATTATAAACTGCAACCGTTCGATACGAATACTCCATTTTGAATACAGAAACAAATACAACAACATTTCGAACAAACAGAAACTAGTTGCCTCAAATATTACAAATTTAAAAATCCCCAATAATTAAATTCCTTCTAAATAGCATTACATTTATCCTGTTCTTCGAACGTCGAAATCAATATTTTATCGTCCGCATTGAAAATACTAGCATTACTATAACTATTTGCTTCAAAGGATTTAGTTAGTCGTAAACTCAAGCGCTATCTAAACAAAATAATTAATAGTCAAAAAGGACAACAAGAACGTTTCCCATTAACAATCCTTCTCCGAAATTAGTCTCGAGTTAATTGAAACTGAGTGCATTCAGGAAAGACGGACGCAACACAAAAGGCATGCGTTAGCATCTGGAGACGACGTAAGTCCTACCCTGCCTATTCGAAGGAACATCCATCTTGGTGGTGGAATGTAGTGTCGCCGCCTGTGGACATGTCTAGATTACGTCTGATGAGGGTGACTATCAATTAACAGCTCTGGTTGTCTTACGAGCAGGATATTATCAACATGACCACCCGTTGATATTATGTCAGGCATTCGATATTCCTGTCAAAGGCACTCCATTGAAACTATATTTATGATTTACTTGGAGAAAAAAGAGTGATCTTAATATTTTTTGCTATTTTAACTTCCCTCCATGTTGTCAAAAGCTCGGCGATACAGGATGCAACATGAGATATCGTGTTTTTACTTATTCATAGCTCTGAAATTCAAAAAACCAAATATATTTGTCAATTCAATTTCTCAAATATAGATTTTAAAACAGTTTGAAGGGAGGTGCCAGTAATTTTAACAAATATTCACCATGTAGAAAAAAAATCAGCAGTTAATTTTTTATACTTACTACAGGACCATGGAATAACAAAATAATAGACCGAAGGCATCCGAGTGATAATTTGTTTTACGCCAGTTAAAAGATTGGTAGTTAAACTCTAGAAAATTAGGAAATACAAAATTCATCCACTTCATTACCTCATTTACGTACGTAACTTACTTTTATACTGCTGCAGTAAAATTGCGGTTAAAGATATAATGTAATTGGATAAAATGCGGAAAAGCCATCAAAACGTGGTTTTCCATAAGAATATCGAAAAACCAAATAATTCGTACGATTGTGGAATTTAGACATTCAGGGTTTCAGTTCAGAAAGTGAAAATGAAATTGATTCAAGTAATCCTCCTTGATATGAAGATCTAAGAGCTTATGCTTCGATACTAAATTGAATTTACCGCGTACAACAGTGTCTGGATCGTACCTTTGAAGCCAGATACGTGCTTTCCAGCATATTGAAATACATTTTTGATATGACCAGACTTGGATTTCACACCGAATTTTCATCGTGAAAAGGTTCGTTTCTAAATCATCTAATTAAAAAAATGATTACACAAGCGAATATCTCGCAAACATATCTCAAAGAGCTTATTCGTGATTCAGCTTCAATTAAAACATGTATAATTAAAAAGTTTCCTGAAATATTCCAGACAGTGGATGAGTTACTACTCTATGTAATGAAATTGTGAACTTTTAAGTAGGTTCATATCTTACGCTTATAATTTGACTTTTCAACATCTCTGAATTTTAAATACGCATTCTAAATTATTCATGCGGAGAAACGAAAACTGCTACACATTATGCAGACTAATTTTTTAATTTCGACGCGGACCAACTTTTCACCAAAAAGGATTCTAATTATTTTCCATTATCTCTTTCCAGGTGCATCCAAAGCACGGCATCGACATTCACAATTCGGTTGAACGCTACGATGCTTTGCCGGGGCTGGAAACTGTCCGTTCCATGATATCCATCAACGCAAGTCTAGAGCTCTTCAAAAACGGTAAAATGAAAATACGGTGTTTGGCCACGATGTTTACGTTGTACCGGAGAACACAAGAGTCGGAACTTCACGACGACGCTCCCCAGCTTGCCCTCATTATGATACCAACAACACAGAGCAACGAAGGTTGGTACACAAATCGATAACGTTGACCAGCAAATTCGTCCAGACTTATTTGGAAAGAACTTCCTTCGCTCGTGAAGCACAAACAATCCACTGGATGCTCACTAGGGCGGATTTTACAATAAAAATTCAGTTGTTAGGTTTTCGTAACAATATGATGTTCTTAAAATGCAACTAAAAGCCACAATAATAATATTATAACGTTTCCCTACGCGGACTCTAATAATAGAGAAACAGTTAAAATAAATAATTCTTGTAAACTTGTTAATTAGAGGGAGAAAATAATTTCAGTTCATTTTTTCAGACGAAAACTGTTTGTGTTTAAACTATGACTAGAGGATCTATTCCAAATTCAAATTTACACAGTTTGAAAGAACATCTAAAGCAAACATATTTAATATTCGATGTGTAACATAATATTGTTACAAGTTAAACATTTCACGTAACATTTAGTTTTCCAATACAAACACACTAAAAAATACTAATAGCTAATAGTTCGTTTGTTTGTTTGTTTATCAACTGAGCACAACTTTCAGAAAGAGAAAACTCCTTCACATGTTTATTTGTTGCAAATCCCAAACAAATAATTTACAAATAATGACGATTACATATCGTCGCCTGAGGACTTGTTTGATCGACAGACCAGAACGCATTCAGGCCAATATAGACTCTAAGCCGACTTTCGTTAGAGCTGATCTGACACATTCACTACGAAGAACTAATCCATTTCGACCATCTGGTCGGACTTTACAACGAATAAGTGAATACACTTCTTGAACATCTTAACGATTTAATGCATAATGTTCCCAAATGACAAAATTCTCATTCCAAATTGTATTATCAAATGATAAAACGCTCACCAAAATTTGTCACCAACAATGAAATGACGTAATCACTACAATAGTAGATGTAATTTAAATTTTATATCCTCCGTTTATGGTTTATGAATCCGTGTTGAGTTTTTACCTTAGACGTCAAGATTTTTCGAAAAAAAATGAACAATTCCCAATTTATAGTTATTGGAAGCATGTTAAATCGTTGGTCAAAATTTTCCGTTGATGCCCCCAGGAATTGATGATGTCGTCTTACAATTTTGTCGAATAAATGTTAAATGTTAAAAAGCAGCATTGTACTGAACTTGTGGTTTCTAAATAAGCTAAAAGAGGTTTTTCAGCTTTTCGATTTGTCGATTTTTCAACTGTAGATGTCTCAATTTTTCAATATTTCAATTTTGGGCTTTTTCAATTTTTCCATTCTTCAAATTTACGATTTCTCGATTTTTTTACTTTTCAATTTCTCAATTTTCCGATGTTTCAATGATACGATTTCTAAGTTTTTATCCTTTTCTATTTTAACATTTCTAAATATTTCGATTTTTCAATTTTTCAAATTTTGACGTTGCTAAATTTTCAGTTTTTCGATTTCTCAATTAATCTGATTTTGATTTTCCCATTTCCCGACTTCTCAAAGTTTCGATTTTTCACATTTTCGACTTTGCTTTTTTGGTGTTTCGATTTCTCAATTTTCCAATTTTTTAATGTCTCAATGTTTAATATTTATTTCCGTTTTGGGATTTTTCAATATTGCGATTCTTCGACTTTTCGATTTTTGGCTTCTGGATTTTTCGAGTTTTCGTTTTTTAAACTTCAATTTTTCGATTGTTTTATATTTCCACTCCCCAATTTTTTAACTTTACGATATTTTAATTTTTCAATTTTTAACATTCTAGATTTTTCGAATTCTCGCGTTTTCAGTTCTTCTACAGGGTGTTATTGAAAGGTACGTACAACAAAATTCACAGTTCTTCGCGAAGTCTAAGAAGTCTGAAAACCCTATTTTGCGTTATCAAAATTATAAGGGGAAAATTAACCCTTGTCCAACCTTTTTAGACGCTACTAATAGGTAAAATTAATTTATTTTGGTAAATCCTAGCAACTGTAACAATAAAACTTTTGTCAAGACTAAATGATGCTATAGAAACGAGAGATAATCTTTTTATCAGAGGCGTCCAACGAATATGGAATAAGTAACAATAAATTTTAATAATTTTTATCTCTAAAAGGAGAACATTTTTACCTGAACTTTTTTAACTTTTAACATCCATACTTCGAGACCAATTACCGATTTTATTTTGTACGCACCTTTCAATAACACGCTGTATATTTTAATTTTTCAATTTTCCGAATTTTTAAATTTTCGATTTTCCAATTTTTTGAGATCTCGATTTAACAAGATTCTAATGTTTCGAGAATATCAATTTTTCCATTTTTAACTTTTCGTTTTTTCGATTTTGGCCTATTTATATTTGGGAACATCGAAAAATTGGAAAATCGCTAATTTAAAAATTCCGAAAACTGAAAAATGGAAATATAGAAGCTCTGAAAACTGGAAAAATCGAAAAGCCTAAAATTTTAAAAATTGAAATGTTAAACTATCGATAAATTGAAAAATTGAAATATCGAAGTATAAAACAGCCGAAAAATTGAAAAATCTAAAGTTTAAAAAACGAAAAATTAAAAATCCAAAAAGTAAAAACTCGAGAAATCAAAAAATCCATGAGCCCAAAATTCGAAAAGTCAAAATAGTAAAAAATCCCAAAACTGAAATTTCGAAAACATTGAAGTCACAAAATTGAAAGAAATATAAAAAAATTGGGAAATTAAAAAATTGAAAAATTGAGAAATCGAAAAGTCTAAAAATCGAAAAATTAAAGAACTGAAAAACTGAAAGATGAAAGTCGAGAAATGGAAAAATAAAAAAATTATTAATTGAGAAATAGGAAAACTGAAAATTCAGAAACGTCAAAATTTGAGAAAAAAAAAATTGTAGAACTGAAAAATCGAAAAATCGAAAATTTAAAACATCAAAAAATTTAAATTTGGTAAAATTGAAAAATGAAGAAATCCGAACATGAAAAAGTCAAAAAAATAAAAATTAGAAAAGCTAAAATTTCAAAATCGAAAAACTGAATAATCAACAAATCGAGGAATCGAAACTCGAAAATTAAAAAAATTGGGAAATTGAAAGATGGGATAATTCAAAAATGGAAACATGGAAAAATCCACAACCCGAAAAGTAAAAAATCGAAAAACCGACAAATCGAAAAATCGGAACATCGAAAAATTCATAAACTGAGACAGTGAGAAATCGAAAAATCAGAAGATCGAGAAATCGAGGAGTCGAAAAGTCGAGAATTCGAAAAATCGAAAAATTGAAAAAACGAAATAGGCCAAAATCGAAAAATCGAAAAGTTAAAAATAGAAAAATTGATAAATCGAGAGATTGAACAATCAAAACATTGAAACATCCGAATCTCGATAAATCGAAATCTCAAAAAATTGAAAAACGGAAAATTTAAAACACCGGAAAATTGAAAAATTAAAATATAGAAGAACTGAAAACTCGATAAACTGAAAAATCTAGAATTTTAAAAATTGAAAAAGTAAAATATCGAAAAGTTGAAAAATTGACAAATCGAAATCAAAAACAGTCGAAAAAAAGCTTAAAAATCAACAAATCGAGAAATCAAAACTCGAAAATTTCAAAAATTGGAAAATAGAAAAATCGGATAATTCAAAAATCGAAAGATCGAGAAATCGAGGAGTCGAAAGTCGAGAGTCGAAAAATCGAATAAATGAGAAAGTATGGAAAATAAATAACCACCAAAATTGTGACTAAAAATATGTAAGAATGAATAGAAAATAGAACACGATTCCTCTGAAACATAAAAATAACTACACTTTCCTGAAGAAAATCTAATACATGATTACGGTTCCACCAGTATTGCTAATTTAGGACGTTTTGTTAATATCAAACACGATAATTAAAAAAATCGACTGAAACATGTGAGATGTGATATTATGTTTGTAATAAAAGAATATAAATAATAACTATTTCCCGCAGAAATACTGAAGGCTTAAAGTCGACATTGGCCTGAGCGCGCTCCGGTCTGTGGATCAAACAAGTTCTCAGGCAACGATATTACAATTTTCAAACTTTTTTTTTGTTAAGAAACATTAAAACTGTGTAACAAATTGTCTTGGTCGACAATTTACAATCGTTACAATAATAGGAGTAATAAAAAATAAATAATTATACGTACACTTACCATTTGCAGTTATATACTTCGTTGCATTTTCCGAACTAGCGTGTTTGATTTTTAACTTTTGTAAATTCTATTGCCAATGTGGACCCGAAAACATATTTTTCATGAAACGTATAATCCAACACTGAAATCGATCGTGGAATTGAAACCGTTCTTTCTTACAAAGAGTCTCATGCCTACGTGGTTAATATTCATGTTTTTTTTTATATTCCGTACCGATCTTGTTACGATAGTGATTCCGAAATCTTTGAAACAGATTCACAGTGTTAAAGTAGCAATGAAAGTTATTCAAATTAAGCAGTATTCCAATACTTAACTGTTCAAAAAAAAAAGTAAAGCAAATTTTATTACTTCTTATACTACGCACCAATTATATTGTCATAATGAAAACATAATAGAAAAATAGCAAAGGAAAATCATGTTCAAAAATTAACATAAATGTATAAACTCGGTGAACCTCAAAACATGCAGACTCACTGTCGATATCGAAAACCTTCGTTGTAATAACTTTCCCGCTAGGGGAATCAAAAATTAACATTTCTAATATATTCCTCTAATGTAACGATTTCTTCCCTCCCATAGATCTGAATTCAATCATGGCTTGTATTATTGTTGCAGGAATTTTTTTCAGCAGCGGAACCGGCCAGATCCACATCACCAACGTCTTCATGGTAATTTTGTTATACTTTGTTCACCTACACGCTTGGTTAAGAAAGTTACAATAAACACAATATCGAGAGACTTGTAAAATGATTTTAAAAAGTGATAGTGTTTAAAATAAACCGTGATAAACTACAGAGGGTTGAAGTGTGGAGACTGATGTGTGATCGATTTAGATAATAAAAAAGAACTGGCCCAAAGTATGCGAGACATTTAGTTGTGTATGATAATGCCAAATCAGTGTGATTACCGTAACATTTTAACTACGTATATGTAATATGCGGCGCAATAACTGTAGTGTAATTATAGCAAAATTTAAAATTTCTGTTTGATAAGTATATAAATTAATTGAACTATTTTTTGTACAAATGTATTTTTTTTCTTTTACATCTGCTATTAATCCTGTCGTACACCTGAATTGCTCAAAATTGCGTTTACTTTAATTAAATTATTTTCTTTTAGTGTGGGTAGGTACTTTCAGGAAATTGACTCCAAACGACGGTTTCCCGAACGTACTTCGAAAAGCAGGTGTGAATATTCTTTTTGTAATAACTGTACGAACTTGTTTACGTTTATTTACACGTGCTGTATATGACGTGAAATCCATACTGAATATTCACACTTGCAACATAAGGGGAAAAACAAATTTTGTATTATGAAGTTCTGAAAATTTATGGTCGTTATATGTAAATATTATATAGAATAACCGACAACGTGAAAATTTATATTTTAGGTAGACGTAGGATCAAGATCACACTTCTCGTTTTCTGTTTACCTTGAAGATCGTACAGACAAAGTTTTCCACAGAATGATAAATCTGCGTTTAATGAAAATGTGACATAGTTCGTGTAAAATGCGATTTTCATTGACTCGCTACATCCGGAGGTAATCAATTTAAATACTCACAGATTTTGCGACAGCGCAGACTAAATAAAGATTTCCCGAATGTGATTAATTCACGATAAGGAAAAATTCTCCCTCTTTCAGTTTGAGCTCATTGTTAAGTTTTGGAGCAATGTTTAATAATAACAGTTTACAACAGATGCGACGACTGTCTTAAAAATATGTGGAAGTATTCAATCGATCTTAATTAACCTGACAATCGTTCATGTAAATCGTTGATTTGAGTCCGTTGGCACAAATAATATAAAAAGAGCCTAAGTGACGTGTGAAACACATCTTTAAAAGTAACGGATGTTCAGTTGAAAAAGTCATCAAGTTGGCGTTGCTTTTTTGATAAAAGAAAAGGTGGCGAAAACGCATGTGTTTTATTAATCCATACTGTTACTCATAATTGGTATTTCTGAGTTGTCAGCTGGCATCGATTAAATTTTAGGTTTATTGTAGACATACGTCACAATGTTGATAAAAAATCAATGTCAACTTGATGACTTTTTCAAGTGATAGTTTCAAGTATTTCATAAAAACTGCTATGTAGAACAAAGTTGCGTAAGCTGGGTATTTCCTTACAAACTGCACGGTTCCTTCCGTTCTCTACAATTGTCAAATAATAATGGCCCATAACTCTAAACTGTGATAACTTGAAACCTGAGGAACTAAACTACAACACCGGCTTATTAATATAAACAAAGTTTGATGACAACGAAATTCAAGTTGCCGTATAACTAACGTATCCTGTCACTCTCGGCAAGTACGAAGCATAATAAACGCCTCTTACTACAGCTATGTGATTGTTTAGTCCACTTTAACTTTATTATTATCATAGCTTTGAAACTGTTACTCCTGTTAAATAAAGTTATAATCCACCCCTTTTTACCGCTTGGCGTTTATGATATCTAAAACAATTTATGTACGCTGTTATTTAAATCTTAACCCTGTTTAACCCACGGAGATGTTTTATGCTGATGATATCTAGAAAATTATGTATCAACGTGGAAGATAACTCAGGTTAATTGTTTGGAAAATGTACCCTATGTTATTTCAAATTGTATTACCTACGAGTAAAAATCTGAACTACAAAAACAATCGATTGGATGTTTTGTGCATAAAATTAATGACGAAATTGAGATCTGTGTTTTTGATTATATGGCTTGTTTTTGTCATAGCAATTATTAAAATGACGAATTTGAAGTATGTGGTTTTGATTACATGGCTTGTTTTGATCATAGCAATTATTAAAAATATTTTCTAAGCTTTAAAAAATTAACTTGTGACAGTCACTTTCAAAGAGTTCATGGTGGTAAAAAATATTTGCGGTGATTACGTAAACACGCTGTATTTTAATATGTGAGTATTTTCTTAAAACCAAATTTTAATATCATCTACATTTTCATAAATTTTTGGAAAATTGTGTCAAAATGTTTTCTTATAACTTCGTAGTAATCACTTGAGTTTCTATTCGTTATTAGTTCTTATATAGCATGCAATTTTTTAATTAGCGGATTTTTTAAAGTTAATGAAGATCGCATTTGACGACAATGTCGTCATGATGAAACACACAAATCCATAAACTACAGCGAAAGTAATTTAATTAAGAATTACCACTCAGAAAATTCATCACTTACTTTACAAACAATATTTTAGACTGCAATTACATTAATGACTGTGTTTACTTCTACCAGATAATTAGTTTTTACACTATGAAATCAACACCGGTGGTAAACAAACTTATCGAACACAATAATCACAAATTTTTATTTCTGAAACAGGATCAGTTTTAATCACGATATTTTAAAGTGCTGTAGTTTGAGGATTATATGGATCCAGTTTTTTTTTGTTGTAATGAATTGTAATTATTAGATGAAAGCTGTAAATACCATTATAACAATCAAACCACAATATACCTATTACTACCTAAATAAATATTAAATGGCATAATTTGGTAAATTCTGTAGCTTTAGAAATTACATCGAATTCAGTGTGTTTCTGTTTGAAAGGAGATGTTGTTTGATCTTTTTAAATGTAAAAATTTATAAAAATAATGCTGTCATAATACCGGACGCATTGCTCGCAGAGATATCGTGAATACAAACTCCATGAACAGAAAACAAAAATTAATCTAAATTACGTGACGGCTCTATTTTTATATATTTGCGGTAATTTAATTTGAAAGTGTTTTTCTATTAAACTTTGTATTCCAGCATTACAGCAGTTGTAAGAATGAGTGTAATAGAACAGTAATAATTGTTAATAAATGATTATACGTTTTTTATTACGGTCTCTTTTTTGATCAACCAAACTCGTTAAAAATCCACTCACTCCCCATTGACGACAACATCTATGAAAAAAATCCCTGCTCGGAATTTTAAAAGCCACTGATTTATAATGGTATTCGTTTGTGAAAAACAAGGTAGGAAAGCGTGTTTTTCTGTTTTTATTTTTGTGCTCGCCTGTTTGTTGTAATTTGCATGCTCAACTCATCTTATTCATTACAGATGCTAAATAACTCAGTTAACATGAGCTTTGTACATGTGTGTGTACATTTTCGGGCTTAAATTTGATTATATCTTGCTTCGTTAGCCCAACGGAATTAACCAACTGCAAGCGTCTTATTATTTTGCTCTCGAGAAATCAATCCGACTTCTTCCAATCAATGATTGAAGACTCATGATTACACAAAGAACAATGTGCATTATTGAACATGTAATGTTTTATTCGCTCCCTCACTCTTCCTAGCTCATTCAAAGTTAAGGCAAAATTCGGAGTTTGACACATTTACACTAAGTGATGGATGTATTCGGCACACGTTTGCGGATTTCGGTGTCGCCTGTTGGCAGTACCGTTCCTCCGAGCAATTCTCAGGAGTCTAGAAAGCAGATAGATTCTTCTAATCCCTTTTGGAAGTCGAGAGGATCCGGCATAGGCGCCGACTTTACAAAATTGACATAGGGGCATACGAATAATCCAACATTAATTACAACTCATAGTAAGAAAAATATGGCGAAAATACTAGTCAATCTATATACAGGGTATCTTTAGATGAGAAATAATATTGTACAGATTTACCTTTTTTAAATAGGCTATGCGTATGTTGAACCAGAGGTAAAACTATTTTTATTTAATCATTAAAATATATTGCGTTACACTATATACATATATAGAAGTGAAAATATTTTATACCAGATATTATTGAATTGAAAATGTCTTATAGATTATAATTTTGGTCACAATGAGACAATTCTGAAGTGACAAAATAAGATTAATCAATAAAAAAAATAGTTTTGTCTCTATCGTTAACGACTGTAGAGGGAGATATTCCATTGTCCCCACTGAATCGGCGCCGATGGATCCAGGTTTAGACGAAGAAACATTCCGATTTCTACTTGTCTAACTAAGGCTGAATAATGGAAAGCGCCTCTATAATGTAACACGTGTCTAAAGCAGTAACAAACATTTTTAAAAGATTCTTAAACTCCCCAAATGCAACTCGGTGGGTAATATCTAGAGTAAAGCTTACAAGAAATTTAATTAAACCGTTTCGTACTCGTTTCGTTTCACTACGTGTTAAAATAAGCATCTCATTTTGTTGAAGAGACACCAGTCAAGCTTATGTATACACTTCTTCCGCCCCTAACATTACCTCGAATATCATAGTACACAATAAGTTTGTGTTAAAACCTTGTTTATAACGTTGATAAAAATTTCAGAGTTTAGGAAGTTTTAGGGTCTTCTTTATCGATTACGGTCGCCATTCTCGAACGAGAGTTTAAATTACCCAGTTGGGCACTGAATATTATGTATTATTCCTGTGAGCTTCTGATTTATAAATATTTAGAAACGTGTACGCCATCAACTTAGGAAGAATTTTAGAACTAGCAGAAATGTGGCTTGAGGAGATGTATTTCACCGAAAAATAGTATTTAGAAAAACTCCTTTCTATAACCACTGGAGTAATTGGAGCATATTTGAAAACCTAATTAGTGTAGGATTAATCCCTACACCGACATCAAAGTTTCCACTTAAAACTTGAGCAATATTTATTAAAACTTCCAAAAGAGTCTTTTTTCTAAAATGCCCAAACATGTTTTAAGTATTGTTTGTCCCACTTTTCGTGCAACTTTTACAATCTTTTTTTTTTATTCCGTTGAAGGTATATTTTTCTTTCCTAAATTATTTGTAGTCTTCACGATAAACCTATTATTTATTTTAATGAAATCAAGCTCATCCTCCACAGATGGACTTTGTTTTATATAACTAAATATAGCGTCGCGTTAGAACTAGTTCTGGCGGCAATTGAATTTCTAATTTCAACTTTAGAATTTTTTTACTTTGTTAACGAGGCTGTTTACATTAGGAAACTGACATGTAATCTCCGCTACTAATCGATTAAATCCGTGTTCTAAACAAGTTACGTGAACCAAGTTAGGATAAATCAGTCTGAGCTATTTTTTTTTCTTAGAACTACCGTAGGTGGAAAGAAGTGCATAAAACATTCATTAGCAAATCTTAAAAAAAAATTCAGCTACAAAGTATAATTGGTTTGGTTGATTTTAACTTAAGTTGCCTACTATAGTTGCAATATAACGCCCACAAAAATCGCTGTTTACTTCACTAAAAAATATATGTAATCGTTATCTACATTTTACTTAATTTTAATAACGAAGTTTTTATGTAAATTAGGCAAATATTTTTTCCTAAAGTACTTTCATTCGACACTTTTCCAAAGAAAAAACTGGCTTTTGAAATTGGTAGCAGATATGTGCGCACAAATCAGCGTTATAATTAATATTTCCCTTAAAACTAATTGTCTCAACTTCTATGAATTTTTGATGAATTACATCTTTAATTTTAATCATTTAGATACTTTAACAATATTTAAATAATTGCAGTCCATATTGGTGTAATACGGTGATGACAAAATCAGTGAATTGCACATTGAAACTGAAAAATAGAGATGCTGAAGAACTGAAAAATTGAGAAACCCAAAAATCAAAAATTATGGAAAATTAAAATAACGAAAATTTGAAGAATCGAGAAATTGAAACATTAAAAAAACCAAAAATTGAAAAATTGCAAAATTTTAAATTAAAAAATTGAAAACAAAAAACAATTGAAAATGGAAAGCCAAAATTCTGAAGAATCGAAAAATTGATAAATCCAACACTAAAAAATCGAAAATTTCATAAATCGAAGAACAATAATTGAAGAAACGAAAAATTGAAAAATCCCAAAACTTAACTATTGTTACATCGAGAAATTTAAAAATTGAAAAATAGAAAAATTTTAAAGACCAAAAAATCATCGGAAAATTGAGAAATCGAAAATTTGAAGAATCGAAAAATTGAAGAATAAGAAGAAATGAAAAATCGAAAAATTGGAAAACTGCTTTAGTTTTTGCGACAATTAAAAAACCACCACTTGTTGATTTCAGTTGCTAAGAAAAAAACTCCAGTGGTGATTTTCATACCTATACCGTTGAAACTTCAACGAATGTCAAAGTTGTTAACACGAAACAAAATTAAGTCAATAACGTTTGTAGAATTTGAGCTTACTATCTCGCTTTAAAAGGTTTTAAAAAGTCAAAACTCTTCCAAAAGCTGCAGTTGAGTATAAATTAGTTATAACACTTATAACCTATTTTTGTTTTCCCCCCATGTCAAACTTCAGATTTAATGCTGCGGTGTTGTCAGATGTATTTTCAAGATAAAATGCACCGTTGGTGGTTTTTTAATTTTGGCAAATATTATACATTGACAAATCGTTGTAAATCAACAATTTTGATTTTTTTTCCATAAATCACTATGTCTAGAACAAAAATTCAACACTGATTCATAAACCACAAGTTCAGGATTATATATTACTTTTTATTTTTTAACAATCAAATACCATTTATTTGACAAAATTATTATCCTGGGGGGGGAGCATTAACAGAAACTGTTCGATTTTGAAATTTCAAAGTTATTTTGTAAAATGTTGTTATAGGTACAATTTTTTTTCTTTCTAAAATTTGAATGCCGAAGGTATAAACTCAATACGGATTCATAAACCACAAATGGAGGATTACATTATTTTAATAAAATTTAAATAACATTAACACTGGAACATTTGGAGATGACTATTGTTGGTGCGGATGAGTAGATACATTTTATTTAGCGTTTTATCATCTACACTACAGGATATGCCTACATACAAACAAAAATTCAGAGAGATCGCAGACAGACAAACGGAAAAGGGAGACCGATTTTTTCGTACTCTAGGGGTTTTGAAACGATAAGAAAGCATGAAAATACTCATTCGTTCGATGGACTGTATTACAATACATACTTCTTTAGCTTACGCTATGGAAGTAAAAAGGAAAAATTAAAAAAATAAAATTTTTCATATATCAAGAGGGATCTTAAGATTGTAAAGAATGATCTAAAGTTATTCAGGCAGAACTTCCTTCG